ATAGGAAATTATAATGGAAATGCTGACTCTCGCTGCACCAGTGTGAGCAGCACCGCGACGGCATTATTAGTGATCTAAAGGAACTGGAAGTTGAAGTGGAATCATTTGCACAACCGACTTCACACCGCTTTGCAAACAAAGGGGGTGGGGGGGTGGGGGGTGGGGGGGCGGAATCTCGCACTTAATTAGTTGCTTGCAAAATCCAGTGTGATTCTTGAAGACAAATCCCCTATCGCTCTAGTCCGTGCCCTGGATCTCCTTGCCGAGCCCGCAGCAGTTGCTGGCAGAGGTCTGTCCCTGCTAGGTGACCAGCCCACGGCGCGGGGACGCTGAGCTTACGCGCCGGCGGATCGCTCCCCCTCTGCAGCAGCTCGCAGCGAGAAGGCAGCGATATAGTAAGGCGCTAAACCAAATCTCAGCACCGCACTAAAAATCAACCAAACGATTTCTCCCTCGTTAACAAAATGGAGATGCGCCAAAGTTTGAATTTTATGGTCAGGAAGCCTTAGAAGCAGAATTTTAAAAATATTGCAAAAGTTGGCATAACAGTGTTATAACCATCACAGTGCTGGTTTTCCTTTGGCAGTCGGGAGCATCAGAAGAGCGTTTACTCGCACCGCGGGAGCACTTTCCGCATTGTTTTGCCGGTATTCTTCCGCGTCTTGTTTTTAGCAGCTCATTAAAATAATAAGGCTGATTAAAATTAAAATAATGGGACCTGAGGAGCGACCTAGGTACCTGGGACGGGGGGAGGAAGAGGAGAGCCAGTTTCGGAAAAGGGGTGCGGAACTCCCCCTCTGCCGCCTGAGCTCGTCTCCGCGGACACCCCTCTTCCAGTGCGTGCTCTAATGCTCTTCGGGCTCACCCTCGATGGGCTCGTTTCCCTTCGTGGCTCCCCCGTTTCTATCTGAGTCCGGTTTATCCGAGGGAGGGGAGCTGTCAGAACCCACATACTCTAATCCTTCAAGGCGGTCAACACCAAAATAGCAGGAAGAGTTAAAAAACAGGCAAAGCGAAGGAAAGCGGGAAAAAAAAATAATAATATCTATCTGTAGATCCCAGATGCCACTGCTAAGCAGGGGGCCTGTCTCGGGGGCGACATCTTGCCCGGGGAGGTATGAGGACAAGGGGAGCACACCGCAGTGCACTTGTGCTCGCTCTTTCCTGCGCGCTCGCCACCGGAGCTGGCTCCATCTCCCCAGCGAAGCTCCGGGAGCGGAGAGGCTTTGGAAACACCGCAGAGCACAGCCGGCTGCTCTGTCCCGTTCTCCGCTCCCTTCCCCCGGGAGGTTTGGGAACAGCCGGGCTGCCGATCAGACGCAGCTTTGACCAGGCACCCCCCACCCACAGCCGCGTTGCGGGGGGCGAGATGTTTGCTGTACTTGGAGCAGCCAAACATCCCCACCCTGACCAGACGGACCCGCTTCTCCTCGCAGTCCTTGCGAGGCGCCTGCCGCTGATGCTTCGCAAGTGGCATTGCTATTTCTCCTCAAAAAAAGATTTTTCGAGGGACAAGCACCGTTCCCCAGTGGGGAGAATGTCCCAGGGAAGCAACAGGGAGTTTTACCCTGCACATGGCTACGGGATGGGCCGGGAATCGTTATTCTCGCCGAAGTTGACTGGGTCCCGGAGGTGAAGCTGGGTATCCCAGCTGAGGGAGAAAAGAGGGTCAGTAAGGTTGTGCAGCCTTCTCCCAGCATACGTGTAGGTGCATCCAGGGATGCCCGGCATCCAGAGGAGCTTAAAACAGAGGAGCGATCCCCAGTACCTGCACTGCGCAGGATTAGCCCTTGAACCCAGAATTCGTTGGAGACGAGGTGACAAACGCACCTGGCTCATGGAGGGAGAGAAGGGGACTTGTCTCCAGGTTCGATCCCCGTGCCCCTTAAGTCTGCTCTGCCGTCGGGGCACGAAGCCGCCCCATCGGAACAGGCACCGGCGTGGTCAGGAGGCAGCGCTCGGTGCCGGCCCCGGCGCTGCGGACGCGGAGCGGGGAGGCAGCCCCCGTGTAGTGGCCGGATAGTGCCGTTCTGGGTGCTGCTCCCCACAAAACGGGTGGCGCAGCCCGGGGAGGGGGGGCCTTCACCCTCCAGCTACATGGAGCAGGATGTGGCTGGGCAAGGTTTCGAGCAGGGGACACAGGTGGAACGTAGGGACAAGGACTTTGGTCTCCCCCATTACCCCACAGATTTCTCCTGAAACGAATTGAGTTTCGCTGTCACGTCTAAATCCTACAAACGTGGCTTTGGGAGCAGATGCCTTCATTTTTTATGAGTCTCTTGAAGTTGTAACATTCCTAATCGACAGCAGATCTTCGCTGTGGAAAAGCGCAGTGTATTCCCTGTGTGTCAGTGCTAACAGTGGTTTTGTACCCCGTTCCCGGTATTAGGTTCCCCACCGTTACAAGTTGACATAATGCAAATTAGCAAGGGACATCATAAAAATCCATCCGAGAATAAAGGCTTTGGAACAGCATATCCGTCATAACTTAAACACCAGATATTTAAAACAAATGCACTTAACAGGACAGTTAACCTGAAACTTCAGTTCAATCGCCAGTGGGTGGACAAGTCCAAACATTTTTATTTTTTAACAAGTACCTAAATATCAGGCTATACGTTATCCAGGCAGCTTTCAGCTACATTTCCAGTAATACTCTGGGATAGAAAAATATCCCAACGTCCCGCTTTGATTATAAACTATTTTCGCGTGGGAATAATTTTCTGTTCCCCTCTCCTCTTTAGACACTGGGATCTTTTACTGCCCTTTATTTCGATGCGTATTTCTTTCGGAATGATGGTTTCTGTAACTGGAAGCGCATTTTTTAAATTGTTATATATTTTGTTCCTTTGAAGGCAGCACGCTCAGGTAATCATTGCTGATGCCGTGTTTGCTATCTCAACTAATCTGCTACTTCTCTAAGGGAATTGCGACTTTTGTTTCAGTAATGCACGCACCCACCCCCAGCTGTATCAAGATGCTTCCTCTGGGAAAAGAGAAATCTTCAGCTAGAACAGAGTATCTCCGGTCTGTTTCTTGAGGATCTTCCATTTGTATTCTGACTACAGGACTCGAAAACTATTTTGGAAAATGAAAACTTATTCGAAGGCATCAACTTACAGCATCGGGCACAGGATCGCACTCTCTACAATTCGACCCCCAGACCAGTGCAAAGGTTTGGAATTTATTTGGGGGCGCGGGGGGAGGAGGAAGAGAGAAGGGGCTGGGGGGGGGGGGGGGGGGGAAGGAGGAGAGAACCGTAATAAAGAAAGAGAGAAAGAAAGAAAGAAAATAACAGCTCGAAATGAGAGAGAACAGGAGAAGCCGGATTGAGGGAGAGTTTTTGCTTCGCCTTTGCCTCATAAAAATGCCACTCGTTTACAAAATGAGGGAACGAAAACCTCTTCGTCTGCCCAGAGCAGTGAGTGGAACTGGACTCCGGATTCCTCAGAAATAGAGATGTTTTGTGGATGAAATGGCAGTGCTATGGTCTTGCTTCACCACGCCACTGTCGTGTTCATGAGCGCTCATTCTGCAGGATGATAACGTAGCTCTCCCTCGTTGCTGTTTTGGTCATGGTTTTTACTATTTGTTTGCTTGTTTTTCCTTCGGAGATGGGCAAAAATCGGTGTAACAACGGGAGTGACATGAACAGTAAAAAAACACATGCTTGTCCTTGAGCACGGTACCATGTTATCCTGACGGATCTGTCTTCGCTAGCGTATTATATTACCCTGGTTCCTCAGAACAATGTAATACACCCAAGCAATTTTCCCCCCTTCACGGATCTAAAGGAGTGTGAATGGATGGATGAATAGAAAAACAAATAAGCAAGGAGATTATGGCCTCAGGATTAATTATAAAGCACGTTTAACCTTTTTCTTTCGAGGGTTATTTTGCTTTGCCTGCTTCGCCCGGGTAGTCTGCCTCCCCCGGACTAAGGACGGCTCCGCGGCACCCAATCCGCGGGGGATCCGCTGGATTTTGCATGCCGTGGATCCCCTCAGGAGTCCAGGGAGGGACACACCAGCTCCGGGGAGCAGGATGGACAGGAAGAAGGCACAGAGGTCAGGGGCGCTGGGGTAGAAAGTGGGAACCGGTAGGGATGCTGGGGCAGGGGAAGGAACCGGCTCTACCCCTGTGGTGGGCTCTTTGCAGTTAACCGGCTCTTGGCATCCTCTCGGGGGATCTTCTCAGAGAGGGAGAACAATGTGCAGTATCCAAATCCCTATGGTTGGAGCAGATCCCTCCCCCAGCCTCCCCCCCCCCCTGTTTTTTTTTTTCCCTTTCTTTCTGCCTTTCTACCCTCCTGCCTTCTCCCCCGGGGGCAGGTTCCGGAGAGTCCTGTCCCGCGAATCAGCGGGGAGGGGGCGCAGCGAGGCCGTCCGGGAGCGGAGGGGAGCGGCACGGAACGGTGTGGAGTGGCGAACCGGGCCAGGGCAGGCAGCGCGGCTGGGACAGTGCAGAAAGCAAGGGGACCCCCACTCCCCTTCCTTTCTCCGTGCGGCTCCGCCGCGGGGGTCCGAGAGTAGCGGGCCGCGGGCGCGGAGAGCGGGGGCGGGGCGAGATCAAGCACTTGCGGGAGGCGATCCCCGAGCTGCCGCGCCTTCGGGAGAAACGGGTTGAAAAGTTGGTTCTTCCGAGCCAGAAAACTTTCTCCCCGCGTGCGCATGCCCGGAGCCTGGTGGGAGGTTGAGGGGGGAGCTGGGGGGGTGGGGGGGTGGGTGGTGTTTGAAATAAGGAGGAGGCTGGAGAGAAGGGATCGGTTCAGTCTGAGCTCGGCTGCTCCCGGGCGCGTTTGCACTCCAGCAAACACAAACGGCGCCGGGAGCAGGAGGAGGTAGTGCAGCTCCGTGTCCATCAGCCGGGGCACCTGGCCCTGCTGCTCGCTTTGGTTTGCCGGTCCAGCCGGCGGAGCAGTGGGGTGGGGGGACAGCGCTGTGCCCTCCAGGCCAGCACAGACACTGACACCAACCTCTTTTATTTTTTTTCTGTTTGTTTTTTTTTTGTTTGGTTGGTTTTTGTTTTGTGTTTTTTGTTTGTTTATTTTTTTTTCCCTGTTATTTTATTTTACCAGCTCAGATTTAGCCCAGGATCTTTTAACTGCTGCCAGCGGTGGAGCACAGATCGGGATTAGGTAAATAAAAAGAGCAACTCATTCTTTTTGTTTTCTTTTTTTGTTTTGCCAAGCCTCGGGGATTGGGGATATAGATGCAGACACCTCCATTTCTCTCCCTCCTTTCTTTCTTTTCCCCTATCTTCTTCCACCATCCCCTTGATGGTGCAGAAGTGGGGAAGTTGTGGCTCACGTGAGGACTGTTCTCCGTGGAGCGGGTAGAGGGCTGTGGGAAGCCTTCACATGGGTCTCGGCTATTTTGATGCTATTTAAAGATTTATCTTCCCATTTCAAAGATGTTTATCTACCTTTGAGGAGAATCTGCGTTTTCAACCCTAGCTAAAAATTACACATACGAGCTGCAAAACAGAAGCCTGAATGTCCTTTGAAACTTCAGCTTCTCTCCTCTCGATTCTTTACTTTTATTCTCTCTCCTCTTCTCTCTCCTCTTCTCTCTCCTCTTCTCTCTCCTCTTCTCTCTCCTCTTCTCTCTCCTCTTCTCTCTCCTCTTCTCTCTCCTCTTCTCTCTCCTCTTCTCTCTCCTCTTCTCTCTCCTCTTCTCTCTCCTCTTCTCTCTCCTCTTCTCTCTCCTCTTCTCTCTCCTCTTCTCTCCTCTCCATTTTTAATGTTTTGAGGTTCGAGAAGCCTTCTCTGCTTCCTCCCAAGTCCCTAACAGAAGAGAACCTGATGTTTATATTTGTCTGAATGGATCGAAACAAGTTCAGAGTAGGGCAAGTCTGAGCTTTTCTCGAGGCCGAGCCTATAAAGTGTCAGTGCAAAGCCGAGGATTAGGGTATAGTTGTTATAGTTGGCTTCTGGGAGGGAAATATAAAAACAGAGCGTTTCGGAGTTGACCGTGGCGCTGCGGGACTCTTCCGGTCACACACGGGCAGGGCAGGAGAGTGAGCGCTGTGTCCCAGGCAGGTGCACTGGAGGTCCAGTTCAGTAAGACCGAAGTCAATCGACACAAGGGACAGCCCCGCAAAGCGGGGTCCGGCTGCTCCCGTTCCGCAGGGCGCAGCTCAGGGGCGGCGGGCCCTCGCTCGGCCCGGCCTGGGCATGGCCTGGGGCCCTGTCACCCAGAGTGTCTTGCCCCCCCCCCCTCCACCCGCAACTACTCCTGCTGCGGCCGTGGGAAGCTAGGAGTATCGAGGGAAGAAACTCTTGCTGCTGCCGGAGAGAGGAAGCACTATATTCGTGCACAGGGGAGGCACCGGGCGTCTCTCTAGGGAGAAAGCGAGAACGAATCTTATGCCGGGCGCCTTTTTACACCCAAGGGAATAAAAAAAAACCACTCGCACAGAACTCCCAAACCAACCTAAACGCTTCTGTAGGGAGAGAGTTGAGGAGCATGGCCCTGCGACCACCCCCAGCCCGTGGGGTCACTGTCCCCCTAGCCTTGGGACCCGAGATGTGGTGGTGGTTGTTTTGGATAAAGGCTGCCCCGGGAAGCGTAGCCATCGCTGGTGCAGTCGATCCCTGGCTATTATTATTATTATTATTATTATTATTATTATTATTATTATTATTATTATTATTATGTGGGACTAAAATCCGGCGCATTCATCCGCTTTCGCAGTGGTGGTCTGAAGAAACTTGTCAACAGTGATTTCGCGATAAAATGTGAATGATGATTTTATAAGGATTGAGCGCAGATATCCAAGGCACATGCTGACTGAGTCTTTCCAGTCCTCATTAATGTTAGCAATTAACTCTTTCAAGCTCAATTAGCCCCGAATAAACCTGCTTTAACAGATTCTGCAGACTTCATTAATACTTTTAATAAATCTGTGCTGAGCAACGCACTCGAAAAGCACCACGCTCGAATAATGGAGAGCGAAAGGGCAATTTTATTCCCTTTCCAGTTAGTTTCCTAAACACAGATAAATTCTAAGCTCTGTTTCCTAGCTTAAACTGACAGGAAGGGAACATCTCGTTCCCTCAAAGGGGACAAAATAGGTAGGTGGCAAAATGCTGCACACTGATGTGATGGCTGCTGAAAGGACAGGGCTTCCACTAGACTTTAAAGGCAAAAGAGAGGGACTTTTTTTTGACAGATGAACCTGATGGTTGTAGTTTGAGGCTGCGAAAGAATGCAGCATTTTATGTCCGCTACTTTATCATGTTTGTAAAAATAAGCAACCTTCTCGGAGTAATTTACCTCCTCCATTCTTCCATGTGGAACTAATTAGCAAACCTCATTATTTATGAGTCAGGTATTTAATGTAACAAATATCCCTTTCAAAGGACAGATCGGAAATTGATAATTCAAGGTAGAAAGGAAAAACACAGAGTAGCCACAAGGTGACTTAAAAATCCACTTAATTTCGCCCCTTGCTACGCTACCAGCAAAAAGCCGGGTGAATTTCTCTTTTCCTTTTTCTACTTTTTTTTTTTTTTTTTTTTTCCTTTATGGCGCACAAAGGAGGTAGAATTTAATCTGGAAGGTTAAGTTTACAATGGTCTTAAAACAATGGCAACTGGACAATAGCATTACCGTATCTTCAAACAGGACAAAGGGTAAGAAAGCTGGAGACAGATGTAGTCTTTCAAGTTTATGATCCTATTTTGCAGGGTAAATTTATCTTGGCATGAGTGGGATTTGTTTCAGTCAGAACACAAGTGGTTTGTTCTTGATTACTCACTGAGCTAGTTTGTATTAAGAAAAAAAGGAAAACCCCGCACAGTTTTATTGTTGGGGGAATTCAAGCAGAGTAGTCGAGGGGTCTTCTTCTGTTAAAAAAAAAAAAAAAAAAAGAAAAAGAAATTAAAAACAAGCTCCGATAACTATCTATTTACATGAGACAGAATTAAAGGTGGAGGTGACACAGAAATCAAAGAAACGTTGATCTCTGCGGGCAGCGGGAGAGTGGAGGGCTCCCGCGCTGTGCGACCCGCTCCCTTTGATGTCCTGGAGAGAGGGGACTTCTGTATGAAATACTCTGCTCTTCATCTGTATTTTTCACTAACCCCGCTGCACAGAGCAAAAGTGTAACTTACATTTCTGGAAAAGTGCCAAGAAACTTGTACTAATGTGAACACTCTGCTCCCACCTCCCCTTTTCTTCTTGGTTTTGTGGTTTTGGGGGGGTTGGTTGTTTGTTTTGTTGGGTTTGTTGTTTTTTTTTTTCTCCTTCCTTTTTTTTCCCCTTGTCTTTTTTTTTTTTTTTTTTTGAAAAGTGTTAACACTTCTCTGGGAAAAAAGAAAAACAAACGCGGGCACTGCTGATGCTGTTATGACATTACTGTATTTCTCCTTTCTGACCCTTTCTTAATTTGGGAAATCAAAAGAGAATTTTTTAAAATATTATTGAGCAAGCATTTACCCAAACAGACATAGTAATTTTTTGTTTATATATTTCATATTAAAGGTTTTATTAGTATATGGAGAAATAAAGAGGGATACGGGTAGAAATTAACTCAGTTTGCAATAGCATGTTTCATGCTTGACAAATCTATAGCTGCCTCGGCAGGAAAATAAGCACAGAGCCGTTGTGACAGGCAGAAAATACATTTCAGGTACAAGAACAGAGTGTTTTCTATACACTTGGTTCTCGAGGTCATTGGCTGAGGCATTTGTGCTGCGAAGTGGACACGCCAAGCATATGGGCAGCACTGACAAAATAAAAAGCATTTCCCCAGTTGAACAACAGAACAATATGGTTGGTTCATCGGCCCTAAATAGTTTTTTTTTTGTTTGTTTGTTTGTTTGTGTTTTTTTTAAATAAATAGAGGAATGGAAGGGAAAGCAAATTAAAAAAAAAAAAAAAAAGAGGAGAGGGAGAATGTAACGTGTGCATTTTTTAATCAGCCACTACACAAAATGTATCTAATTAAAAAAGACGAAATGTCACAATCTCTTATTCTGGGTCACTGCGCTGGAATTCCTCTAAGATTTGAGTCTATCTTCCGCTGCTGATTTATGTAAAGTGGCGTGAAAGGTGGGCCCGGCATATAGAACTGCACAGAACAAGCTTCTCCCTCTCACACCCTCCCAGCCGCAACTCCTCAGTCTGGACAGCAGCTCACATATAAATCAGATTTGTTTCCCTGGTCTTTAGACCTCTTCCACCACTGGTTTCCACCCACCCAGTCTTCCATCCCAGAGGGACGATTACTGCTCTGCAGCACTTTGCTGCCTCCTTTTCTCCAAAGGGGCTTTACTCTTCACATGGGGATGAACTCCAGGCTGAATGCTGCAAGGATCCTGCTGGGACCCTGTGGGGATCCTACACTGACTCAGCAGGAAACCTACAGTGGACCCTATGTGGATCTGTGGGAACACTGCAGCAAACCTGTGAGGATCTTATGAGCACCTGTGGGGTCTCTATGGGGACCCTGTGGGGATCCTGCTGGAAAACAAACCCACAGAGTGCAAATCCTGAAGTTCACTCAGGGGGAAGCAAGTATAAGCTGTGGGCTGCGCAGTAAGGAAGAGACTCCCTGGGATGCAGGGATGTGATGCCTCCAAAAGCTGTGGGTGCTCTCTCACACCCACAAAGAGAGGAAGCTGTATCCCAACCACCAACTCTTGGGAGGCATCTCTTGCCAAATGGATGACAGCAGCCAGGACTGAATTTGCAAGCAGGGCCAGATGTGCCTTGCTGCTGTGGCCTTGCAACATTTTTCTCTTGTGGGGTGAAATGGGTAGGGATCTGGCTTAGAGGAGAGGCTGGGGGCCTGGAAGGACCCTGAAACACAGAGCAAAGTGGTGGCACCCAGCCCAGGGGTAGGGCTGCAGCCCTGCAGCTGGTGAGTTCAGTGTCCCTACGGGAAGGATCCCTCCAGCCCTCGCCTATTTTCTTTTTGAAGGGTTCTGATTAAGTGATTGCCTAGATTAGGATGTGGGCTTGAAGCCAGACACTTCCCCCTTGGGAGAGCAAATGGCACTTCAGATTTGTCACCCAAACTTAGCTTTTTCCCATTTCTTTTTGCAGTACATAAGAGGGAGGGTTGTTGTCTGGTATTTCCCCCTAAAAAAAAAGAAATCCAGGAATTTTCCCTTTTTGAATGAGGGAGGACTTGCAGTTTTGGGACCAAACTGCCACTACCACCAAGCAGAGGCTTGGCTGAGGCCAGACCACAGTGACCTGAGTGACCCAGGGGCAGAGGGCTCTCTGCACCTCCTCCCACATCACCTCAAGGGTCAGGGTTAAAGGCAGATTTTGTGGGCAGTATCCAACTATTTTCTAAAGGCTGAGGGTGCTCAAGAAGGGATTAAAAATTACATGGGAGAAGATTGAAATTTGTGGGCCAAAATGGCATCTTTTTGCTGTCTCTATGTAGTGCATTATTACAGGTCTACACAGCACAGAGATGCTGTTTGGGATGAAAAATTGCTGTTGGGGTACAACTTTTGTGTGTGAGGAACGGCGAGAGTCTGGAGACCTCTGGGGATACACTCACAGCCAAGAGCTTTTCAGACCTCTCTGACTCCAAGGCAGTGTCCTCCTGTCAGTTTGGAGAAGGGTGTTAATGAGGCGTGAGGTGAAAAATTCCGTCTACTTTTATCTTTGTATAAATCCACCTCTTCCCCACTCCATCTTTTTTTTTTTTCCAGATCTTTTCCTTCCCTGCTCCCAAGATCCTCCTCCTGAGTGGCTACCATGGGAAGTAAGACCTTGCCGGCCCCAGTGCCTATCCATCCTTCCCTCCAGCTCACCAACTACTCTTTCCTGCAAGCGTTCAACGGGCTGCCCACTGTGCCCTCTGACCACCTCTCCAACCTCTATGGGTTCAGTGCCCTGCATGCTGTACACTTGCACCAATGGACTTTGGGGTACCCGGCCATGCATCTACCCCGCTCCTCCTTCTCCAAGGTGCCCAGCGTGTCGAGCCTGGTGGATGCACGGTTCCAGCTGCCAACCTTCCCTCTCTTCCCACATGTCATCCAGCCCAAACAAGAGGCCACCAATGTGACCCTCAAAGCCAAACCCCGCTTTGACTTTGCTAACTTAGCAGTGGCTGCCACACAAGAGGACCACTCTAAACTGGGACAGGCAGACAGTCAGGGCTCGGCCCCAGGGTTGGGGTCCTTGCTTGAGGTGACTAAACTCTCTCCAGAGAAGAAACCCACACGGGGAAGGTTACCATCCAAAACCAAGAAGGAGTTTGTGTGTAAATTCTGTGGCAGGCACTTCACCAAGTCCTACAACCTTTTGATCCATGAAAGAACCCACACTGATGAACGGCCTTACACATGTGACATTTGCCACAAGGCCTTCAGAAGACAGGATCACCTGAGGGATCACAGGTAACAATTCTTCTTCTATCTTTTTTTCTTGTCTAGCTGTACTCTCCCAGTTACCTACCTACGTTCATGAAGGTGCCTGTAAGAAAAGCCATGTTCCTGACCACCAGCAGCATTCCCTCTCAGTTTTCCTCTGCCCACTGCTGGTGGAGGAACCCAGATAACTCACTTTAGAAGTCAGGCCTGTTGTACTCACACACCCCATAAAAGTGATTTGCACATCCTCCTTCTTAGCTTCCACAGATGTTTCACCCTCCCTTTGCATGGTCTTGTGTCCTCTGCCTTTATGATTGTTCAGATGTGTCATGAAGACTTGAAGCCTGATGATCCCAAAGTTAGAGAGAAGCTCTTCATCCCTAAGAAAGACACCCTTGTGATATCCCTCTTTCTTCTTGCCCACAGTGCTGCACATCAGCACTCTTGATCTCAGCAAAAGGTGTAAAAATCTCCAGCATGTTCTCCGTCAGGTAGCTCACGGCCGAGTTTAGGTTAGTTATTTCTGACATCTCATTTTTGTTCTCTCCCTAGATATATCCATTCTAAAGAAAAGCCTTTTAAGTGTCAAGAATGCGGGAAAGGATTTTGCCAGTCCAGAACACTAGCTGTCCACAAGACACTGCACACGCAAGTAAAGGAACTGAAACCTGCCAAACTTAAGTGCTGAATCTCCAACTTCTATGAACTTTTCCTTCCCCTCAGACTTTACACCAAAACCAGAGCAGAAACAAAACTTTCAGGATGGAAGCACTGAACTTTGCATTTTGTTTTTGTTTGTACTTTCAAAAGAGCAAAATCCGCACCACCACCTTCCCTGCCCAAACTAACTTTCCAAGCATGGCTGAAAAGATTATTTTTGCATTTTAAAATACACACGAATAATGCAGGGAGTGCTAGCTGACTTGTGTGGCTTTGATAAACTTTGTGCCAAAAGGTGGTGCTCACGTGTTGGACAGGAATCTCTTTAAAACCAAACCAAACCCCTCAAGTGTCGTTCCCCCCCCCCCCCCCCCCCAATCCCAACAAAAGAACCCAGAATCGTAGCAAAAGTATTACATATAAAAAACCCAACCTCTTATTTTATACCTTTTTGACTGTATAAAGCTTCTTATTTTTACACTTCAGGAAATACAAAGAATTCCAGAACATGATTAAGAACTGAAATGGTGGTTTCTCATCACAGCATCATTAGGACAAGCAGAAGGGCAACTTGCAAATCTCACTTGCTTGTTTGTTTTCTTCAAAAGAGAAGAAAATGAATATTTGGAAATGACCTAAGTCTCTCAAGTGAGGAGTCTTATCATGCTCCGGAAAACGAATCCTGATCTTAGACCTGTGGTCCCTCGTGTTCAGGATAAATCAGTGTTCATGGGACATGGAGACTTTTTCTTTTGCCTTATGGTCTTGTGCTCTGTGAGGAGGTTTGTAAGTTGTGGACTTACCTTAAAAAAAACAAAAACAGAGTAAAGAAAGATGGCAAAGCATCAAACTGATGGTATGCACAATATGGTTTTAGTGGTATTTTAAAGTCTTCGTGCACCCTGATGAGAGAGAACAAATTTCAACCTGAGAGCGTATTTTTTTAAATGCTGGCTTTCGGAACAGTGTATTCAAACTAAGAGACATTCCAATAAGTTTTGTTTATTAAAAAAAGAAAAAAAAGTTGTATGGCTGTTTGGCACTTTATGCTGATTATTGGTAATTGACATTTATCACTGGATTGTGTGTGGTTTTTTAAGTATTAAAATAAATCGTTATTTTACAGGCAAGTCTGCATGGGCTACGTATGCGTTCATTTGAACTCTGGTCTTTTCCCCACCAAAGCCTCTCTGGCAATACGCAGGATATTCAGAACCAGGTTGTTTTTGTTGTTTTTTTGTTTGTTTGTTTGTTTTTCTGAGTTAACTTGATATTTCCTCAGTGCTTGTTTCTACCAACTGCCTCATTTTCTTTCTCTTTTTCCCTCGTCCTTTCTTCTTTCCATTTTTTTCTTTTTGCTTTTCTTTTTTTTTTTAATTTTTTTTTCTTTCTGTTTTCTGAGGCTGACAAAAGCAAGCAGACCTTCGAGGGCTCAAATAATTTTGCTGCTAGTGTGGAAATAAGAAAAAAATCGTCTAACGTAACTAAACCTCGGGCATTAGCTTATAAGATTAGGTGTCAGAAGTGTTATAAAACAAAACAGATGAATAATGGGCGAATTGGTGCTGCCTTCCCAGCCCGAGGGCACTGCGGGGAGAGCCTCCTTGGCTCACCGTCCTTCGCCTGTCAAGAGCGGGCATTTCTCTACTGCATCTTCGGCCAGTTCAGCGCTGATCGGTGCGGCCTTTGGTTCCCGGCAGCTGTTTCAGATCAGAGGTATTTATTCCACTGCGAAACCGCTTTGGATAGAGATGGGGGAGAGAAAGCTCAGAGCTGGGGGATCCGCCTGAGCCTTTGAAGGGCTTCTTGCCGTCCTTTCCCATCCCCTCGGCAAACCTTAAATCCTCGTCCCCCTGTCCAAACCAGTGCCCCCCGCGATAAGAAAAACCTGCAAATTAGCTCTTCCCCTGTGGCTCTTGCGCTGCCGCAGCGCCTCGGTCCAAAGCGGTTCCTTTCCCCCATTCTCCGCTTTGTTTTCTGAAAATACTTCTTTATTTGGCTAAGGAATCCTATTAACGACAGGGTAAAAGTTGCGGTTGTAGCTCCTTTAATATAAGGGGAGGGGGCAGAAACCTTTCTGCCCCTCTCTTTCACCGGACACCCATTCGAGCTCATGGTAACTACTTTAAGTTCACTTGCTGGACGGGCTGCAGCGGGCGCCTCCGGAGCCGGGAAGCCCTTGGGAAACGCAGGATAACGAGATGACGCCTCTGTGCGCATCCAGCCCCCGAGGCTGGGAGAACGGGCAGAGTTTGAAGTCGGCTTGCTTTTGCTTTGCTTCCCATCCACCGCTCGCTTTCCACACCGTGGGAAGGCTTTTGTTTTTATCTTAAAAAAGCATCTGAAAACCAACCGCTCCGTGCAAGGAAGGAATGCGAGAGGGAAATCGCGCAAGCCTACAGGAAGCCCGGGCTAACTCTCCTTGGGATGAGCACAGAGCTCTACCCGTTTTGCGCGGAGCCGGGCAGGAGCAATCCGTTTGCTGCACTGGCCTCTCGGTGCCGAGCCGCATCAGGCTGCGTCTTCCCGGCAGCGATTCTGGGGGGCAGTTTGCCCCCTTCCGGAGCCCCGCCCCCCCAGTCCGTCCGCGGAGGTTTAGGTGCGTCGCCTTGCGCAAGCCCAGACGGAGCTGCCGCCCCACCCGCGCTGGTCGTTGCTTGCAGAGCGCCCCTTGGAAAACGTTACCCGGCCCCGCTTCCGGGACAGGGGCTCGGCTTCCCGGCAGTGGCCTGTAGCCACTAGCATTGACACGACGTTAACTGTCAGCCTAAGGGACGCTACACTCCTCCCCCCCTGTGTATTTCTTCTAAAAGGAGATTCAGTGAAAAAAAATCCCCGATGAACTTCCCCTCTGGTGTTGTTCGTGGCACAGAGTAAAGGAGCAAGGATGCTCCAGGGATCCTGTAGTGGAGGGAGAAAGTGAAGGGCTGTGTTGCTGGGCGCCTGTCATTTTTCAGGGGTCGTGGCTACGCGGTAGAAATCCAAGTCGGATCCAAAGGGAGGAAGGAAGGGATGCAGGGAGGGTCACTCCACTGAGGCTTTCCCATGATGGCCTCACCACCTCCTTAACACCAAGATAGCAAAACACCCGTGGCGAGGTAAGAATCCGTGTAAGTTACTAGTTCCTGGGAACTATTATAACTGCAGGGATGTGAAGGTGTAAAAACTGCTCCTCCTAGCTGGGCATGAGAAGCGTTTCATTTATAAGCCTGAAGCCTGGTGATCTGCCTGCCAGGAATTTCCTTGGACATGTATTTTTATATGCAATTAAAACAAAAAAATCCCCAGAACTGACATAATCAGAATTACAGATGTATTAAAACTACGTGGGCATACTGAGCACAGGATGCACATATGGCCTCTTAATATCATTTGTACTACACGTATACATGTGTGTATTTCCTCTCCCCAGAAGGCCTCTTTCAACCTCATGCAAACAAAGGCTATCTCTCTGGTCATGCTCTCAGCTGCACTGGTGAACAGTTCGCCTATTTTCTCCAGTGTTTTGAATTTTGCTAGGCAGTATCAGCTCAGTGATTCCAAGGAAAGCAAAGAAGACATGAAATCATGACAGTCAGAAGAGATAAGTAGTACTAACCCCTAAAACAAATGAAAGGAATTAGACAGGAAATGTGACTTTTGAATCAGGATCACAAATAATTTAAATTGTTAATTACCTCCCTTTTCTTTCTTCTTTTCTCTCTTTGCAAGTGTTTTAATCTAACGTTCATGCAGGGAATAAAACTTATTTAGGCCTCTGTCTGCCAGTTGAGAGCTGATTCTGTTTTCACAGTTGCTCTAAATTTTGCATTTTCATCATAAAAACATCACTGAATAGAATTTTGCAAGAGTAAAAAAAAAAAAACAGGGCACCTGACTCCAGTTGCTTCTTTCTTTGAGATTTACAAGGGAAACATAGTTGTTTGTTTTTTGGTTTGTTTTTTTTTTTTTTTTTTTTTGTTAACCATTTCCAGTTACAGGAGAAAATGTAAAGATGTCTTGGCATGTCTCTCTCATCCCCCCCTTTGCATTCCAGTAATTCTTTTTCTGCCCATAAGCTGTTACTTCTCTGCAAAAGCCTGATTCTGCACAGCTTGCTCAGGCTGGGTTTTTCTGTTGGCTGCAGGAAGAAGTCCTGTCAGATGGGGTCTTCAGTGTATATTCATGAAACGGCAAAAACCTCTCTCAGTGTGCACTGGAACAGCAAATAGTTACTTTTCAGCTGTGAATTACATGTGCCTCTGAAAAGGGGACCACAAATCACTGGGTTTTTAAAGGTTCCGCATGAGTTGTATATTAATCCCAGTTTCCCTAGAGATGGATTAATCCCAGCTTCGCAGTTGTGTGGCTACAGGCAATGTAGATGGGGTTAGGGGTAGGGGAGAAGGGAGATAAGGAAATGAGAGGGAAATTAAAAAGATATATCACAGGAATACATGGCCTAAGTTGTGAGGAGCCATAAGTACTTAAGTTTCAGTACCTCTTCTACCTCTGTCACCACATATAAGCTGAAGCAATTCACTTCGGCTCCCGGTTTGGTTTCTTTATCTGTAAATTTGGGATAGTGCTGCTGCTTTTGCTCCCAAGAGGCTGGGCACACTCACGTAGAAACTCCTGCTTAGCCCTCAGTAATGAAAAGAGATACTCCAATTCGTACCTGGGCAGCTGAAAGCAGTGGTTGATCTGGGAGAGCTAATGGAGTGTGCAAGACAAATTTATATTTGCGTGTAATTCTTTTTCAGCCCTGGCAGTTTAGTTGAGAGATGGAGTCCTAGAGCTCAGCATGCATTTCTTCTCTACATTCCTATCCAGTGACTAACCAGGAGGAATGGCATGGGCCAAATTCATCCCTGATGGGACTCCAATGACATCAGTCATCTTTATAGGAATTTTTTGAATGAAGTCAATTGGGTTTTATGAGGACTGAGTTTGGCCACATGCATATTTAACTGCTCAGAGAACTGAAGCCATGAAGGAGCTTTCCTTGTCCTGGAACAAATCACTTCCGAGTCTGGGAGACACAAGCTAAACCATTGACCTGTTTTACACAGTCGAGTTTACCTTATTTTAACTAAAGAAGAAGTTAAGCGTGCTCAGCATACAGCAGAACTTGGAAAAAAACAAACAAACAACAACAAAACACCCAGCTGCCCCAAAATGAAACTTGCATTTGTCCATACTGCTTGGTGCAGCACCATGCCATGGATATCCAGCAGGCATGTTTACATGACCCAGGGCAGCACCCTGCAGGAATACTGGCATGAGGCCTGCGAGCAGAACAGTGGCTCTGACCCTTGTTAGGCTTTGCTGTTCCTTGTCACACTTACATATCTCTGCCACTTCCAGCCCACGTCTCTGTCAGTTCCAGCCCACATCTCCCTTTAGAGTCTCTCTGGGGCTTTAATTCCACTGTCATGGAACATGGTAAATCACTAAAAAGGGGTGCTTTTTCCTTCACCTGTGCCTTAATGGCTGGTGCTGACTCCCCCTGCACCTTATGCTTATGTTTTATAGGAATCTGATATTGCACAAAACATAAAAATGTTTGTATAATTCCTGACACAGTAGCTATTGAAAAATAAAACAACAATTCTGTCAGTGGCAGTAATTATGAAAAGTTTGTCTATAGAGCTCGTAGACACCACTAATCATCTAAATTATTTGCAAGGTTTTTGGTTCTGCATTCTTACTATATCTTTTAAGGAGTAAGTCAAACAGTAGAAGAACTGTATTGCTAAGTGTAGGCAGTCGAATATCTGTTCTGATCATATGAGGCACCTCAACTGTCTTCTAAGGGATAAATATCAGATCTCTTTTCTTGGTTCCTAACTTGCTTTCTGTCTTTACTAGATCTGTGGTGATGGAATTTGCATTTTATTTTCAATCCTTTTACATTTTACATGTGGAATAATGAAATCTGAGTTTACGGGCTTGTTCATCTCTTTTACAGCAATTTGACTTGGCTGAATCTAGTGGAGCTATTCTAGTTTTACAATAAAAGTTGTGAGAAGAGAATTAGACCTACTGATGGTCTTGCTGCAGCCACAAACGCCACACTGCTGAGACCCACTATGATGTTTTGCCTATATTTAATTTTCTTAGGTTTTACTTTGGTTTTTTATTTTTTATA